TAAACAAAAACTAAACGCTAATGGTCGGCCAGCCTGAAACTCGGTCAGGCCGGGGGTGCTTCTAAACCGAATACCCGATCTTCTTTTAAAATACCCGGTCGGGTATTTGTCAATTCTGGCCAGGTATTCCTTTTGTGGGAATCACGTCACTATTGCCAGTTGTTTGGTTTTTTAATTTCTCATTGGTTTGGACATGCTCGTAGGTAGTCAAACCCGGGGTGGGAGTTTCGATGGGGTGTTAGCAAATTTAGAGGCAAGACTATGACCGCTAAAGCGGAGAAGGTGATTTGGTGTTCATTGGTGAGTTAGTTATTGAGGGAGAGATTTAAGATTCTATTGACGGGATAGGAAAAGGAGTTATTTGACTCCTTTCCTAGATCAAAAGTGAGGTTGAGTTGCTGGTAGGAGCTAATATATTTGACCAGTTTTAAAGAATGTGATTTTGCTGATAAATAGATAGGATTTTCTCTTGTCTTGTTTCTGTGGAGGGTAGTTTGTAGTGATTGTTTCCCTTACTTGGCAGAGGTTCTTGTTTCCAATATAGGTTTTTTATGATACAATATAGAAACTGTCGTTCATAAAAAAATAAAAAATAGAATTTTCTACCTGTCATCAATGAGCTCGACATATTCTAAGATGTGTCAACGCTAGTGTGAGAGTACATAAGTTTGACAATACCCAAGGGGGAGAGGATGAATCTGATGCTTCTGAAAATTTTTATGCAAAATTGCTGAATCTGTTCTGTGCAACATTGAAAATGGCATAGCAGCACTGGCTAGGATCATGAAGAAAGCAACTGGGAAGTCTACTGGAAAAGGGAAGATGAAGTTGAATAATTGTCCAGAGCTAAAATACCTTCCCCTCATATCTGAACTTGAGAAGCAAGCAAGTAACTTCAATTAAGATAAAGTTCATCCAACGATTGCAGGAAAGAGCATCAGAATTAGACTCCGAAGACACTCTTATGGGGTGCAGGATGCGGAATCCAAGAGAAGAATCATCCATTGATGAAGACATATCTGATTATGAAACTAATCTTTAATATGACTTCTAACTTGATATAGTGTTGAGTGACGGGTAGCTTAGTTAGTTTATTTTTCTAATGATTGGATCTTAACTTGAGAAGCAAGCTTGGTTATGCAAGAGCCACCATCAAGAAGAAATGTCAAGAGTTACGTAAGATGTCAAGTATTTTCAAGTCAAAGAAAAACAAGCTGAATAAATTTGAGCTCGAAGAGAGATACATGATGATGCTCAAATTATAGTGTTCACTCCCATATTTGACATGTTCTCTCCTTCTATAGATGCATCTTTAGTATATTTTACTATATTTCATATAAATATCGTAACTATTTGATCAATGTGCCTATCATAGATAGGGATAGCAATGGGGCGGATTTGGGGCGGGTTTTCCTAAACCATCCCCATACCCATCTTCAAATACCCAAACCCATACCCGCCCCATACCCATGCGGGTGAATGTTTTGCAAACCCATCTCCATACCCGTGGATTTCGGGTACCCATGGGTAATACCCATACCCGTACATCCAACATTATTATACCTAAAACTTACAAGAAAATTTTTAATTATAACTCTAAACGAACATATTATATCATGAAGTCAACAAAACACGATCATTTTTTTAATATGGTTCAAAGAATATGATCCTAAAATATCCATTAATACATAATATAGAGTATAATATTTTTCAAATTATTATGTTCTAACTCTAATACATCTACTAAGTAATAATTAACTAACATAATCTTGTTGACAAGGGGGAAAGTGAAAGAGTGAAATTAGAATTGAGAGAAATGAATTAGGTTTTGATTAAGGTGGTAACTCAATTGCATTTCTACTATTTATTTTCTCAAGTTATCCTCATCATCATTGATATATTATAATTTGATGCACATATTTTTTTATATATGAAGAAATTCTCTTGGTGGAGCGGGTATGGGGATGGGTGGGGCGGGGGAGGCTAAAACCATATCATCCCCATACCCATCAAACTTTTTGCGGGTTTTACCTATACCCGGTCAAAACGAGGATTCCCCGCATTGACTGGGTCGGGGGCGGTCGGATACCCGCGGACATGGGTTTGATTGCCATCCCTAATAATAGACCTTGAGTGTGTTTTATACTATTTTACCCTTTTGATGTTATTTTGTGTATTTCAGGAATATGTTACACTCTAGAGGAATAAATATTATCAAATGGATTTGTTGGAGGAATAGAAACTCATAGACTCAAATAAAGATAGATTTGCATATTGAATACCCACATGCTTATCTAAGGGGTCGTTTGGATGCAGGTTTGTTGTGAGAGATTTGTGAGGAATTTTAAAACAATCTCTAAATATGCAGGATTTTAAAACAATCTTGCGTTTGGGAATATGAGAGATTTTGAAATCTCACATTTTTATTTCTTTCTTTCTTTCCAAACTTGTCCTTCCTTCTTCTTTCTTCTGCTACCTCTCTTCGTGCACCCAAAATTGAAAGGCTAGTGTCATCTTCGAGACCTTCTCATCTCCCATCGTCTCCCTGTCGCCGTCTTCTAAAGAAGAGAAGCCAATGTTGTTGTTTGCCAGAGGTCTTCGTCATCTGTCCATCGTGGAAGTCGCTATCATCATCTTGAGAAGCCGTTGCCATCGTCTCAAGAAGCTGTCGTCGTCGTCTCGAGACGCTATTGTCGTAATCTTCCAAAAATCATCGTCGTCTATCCATCATCATCAATCCAGATATGTTGGCATCCTCTTCTTGTTGCCATCAGTGGCGGAGGCAGGGCCTTTTGGCCTTGTCCCGGGACAGGGGTAAATTTTGGTGGAACAAAAATACGCCATATATATTTGTATTGGTGATGGACCACAACAAGTATAGGTAGTATTAGAGTACTTTGTCATTACAACACAACTCATTACTTGTCCAAAATTGACATAAAATTAATTTATATACAATAAACGAAATTTCAATTGCAATAAAGAACCAATCGAGTCTCTTTTCTCCTTATGCCTATTTGATCTTTCCCCAACAACCCTGAAATTGTCTAGCGACAACGGCAATCCCGCTAGTTTTGATCTACCAATTACAACTGCAAGTGTAAAAAGAGCATTTTCAGCTTTGAGTTATATTAAGAACAAGTTTCCAAGTCGATTTGGCGACCAGTTTGCTAATACTTGTTTAGTAAGATACATTGAAAGAGACTTATATAATAGTGTAGACAACAAATGTTTTTGCGCTTCTTTCACTATATGAAATTCTTTCGTAGTTGTTTCTGAAAAGTATGATAGTATAATCGGTTATTTTTAAGTTATGAATGAATTATTTGGATATAATTATTTTTTATTAAATAATTTTTTTATTAAATACTTATATATTTAAGTTATGAAAAGAGGACAGAGGTGGTTTGAAATGCTACCTCCGTCACTGGTTGCCATCGCCATCACAAAGGGTCTGAAGCCGACGATTAGGACGTTTTTGGCTCTCCTACCTCAATCCTACGTCTTCTTCTTCTTCTTCTCCCTTTCCTCTCGCCGACTCGCCAGATGTGTGAAATTTTTGGCGCCAGAGAGATTGCAAGTTCCGATTTTCTCAGAATCACTCTAGATCCGGTCGCTTGTTGCTCGATCTAAACTTCGCTGCTCTATCATTCACCTCCGGAGAGCTTCTGCCTTCCCCCGAAAAATCAACAACCTCAGTCCCTAGCGTTTCCACCTCCGTCGTCTCCTCATCAACGCTCCAGTCGTCGATCTGTGTTGGTTTTCTGGGTACCTCATTTTGTCAAATATGAAGGAAGAAGGGGCAAAACTGTATTTTGCAGTCTTTAAAAATCCAGGTTTATAAACAAGCAAATGATTGATTAAAAATCCTCATATTAAAACCTAGGTATTTAATTTGTGGGGTTGTAGGAAAATCATAGGCTTTAGAAAATCCTCATCGAAACCATGTTTATTGTGTAAATGTAAATACATAATAACCTCTATAAATTAATATAGTCTGGATCGTGAAAAGTATTAGTTTATAGTAGTTATTAATTAAGCAATTAATTAATAATTATTAGTTTAAAGAGGGTTTTCTTATGAAGTATGTTTATCGTATATTCCAAACATTTCAAGTTCATACGATAACTTATCGCATTCTACGTATTCATTGTACTAAAATTCAATAGAAGAGAATTATGTATTCTTCCAAGATAAATATATTCAATGTATTCTTGTAGATGGTCTAGATTCATGTTTTAAATTACTTGCATCCCTATATTCATTGATCATACATTCAATATAATTCATAGAATATATGGTGACCCGATCACTATAAATAGTACTACAAAAACATTGTAACTCCTAGCTATATTATAAATATCCAAATGAATTGTAAAAAATATATTATTTTATTGAGTTAAAAAAACATGTATTTATGTCTTGGTTCTCAAAAATTATTATCTTATTGTTTTATTAAAGGTTAATGTCTATTTTTATCCAAACATTTTCAGATTCTTTTATATTATCCAAATCTATCAAAATACTAAAAATTAGCCAAATGTTAACTTTCAGTTAGCAATTTTGTTAGTAATATTGATTTGACAACATGATACTGACTTAGAAGAGACACATGAATGTCAACATTGCAAAACTTTAGTATTTTAATTTTTAACTAAGAAAAGAGTTATAAAATTATTAACGATAACGTAAAATGGCTAATATTTTAATGGATTACGAAAGATTTGACTAATTAATAGCATTTTAATATTTTTGAATAATATAAAAAAATCTGAAAAAGATTTGGATAAAAACTGATATTACACTTTATTAAATTTGTTTATTTTTAATACTGGTCTGCAGAAATTATTAATTTAAAGAGGTTATACGGTGAGTTGACCACCTTTGAAACTTTTTTTAATTATTAATTTAATCCAGTAATAAAAGGAAAAACATTAAGTCAATAGTATTAGTAGCCGACGGAATTAATTAACCATCTTTTTAGAGTAAAAAAGGCAAAATCGGGCCCGTGTGCAAGCCACAAGTTCAACGAACTTCTTCTTCGGTTCTTCCTCAACCTCAATCATTTCTGGCTGCCTGCTGCAGCTTCTCTGAGCCACCGAAACTCCCATCCAACAACTACCATGGCGTCTCTCTTAGCCAACGGCATATCTAGCTTCCCTTCGAAACCCATCTCCGATTCACCCAAGCTCCACAAACCCTTTTCATCGAAGACCCTAATTTCCAAGCCTCTCAGGACGCCCAACTTCCTCAAAGTCCGAGCAGATGTCAGTTTGGATCCAACCGCCACCATCACTTCCGATTCAGGTAACCTCCCTTCAACTTCCACCCTTAGCTCCGATGAAAAAATCAAAGAAATCCTTCGTAATCGCGATTACAAGAAGAAATTCGGGTTTACGATGGATATCGACTCCTTCTCGATCCCGAAGGGTCTTTCCGTTGAAACAATCAGGTTGATTTCCTCGCTGAAAGAGGAACCTGACTGGATGCTTGATTTCAGACTGAAAGCCTTCGAGAAGTTCCTGGAAATGAAAGAACCGAATTGGTCTGATAATCGATACCCGCCGATTAACTTCCAAGACCTCTGCTACTACTCAGCTCCTAAAAAGAAACCCACTTTGAATAGCCTCGATGAAGCTGACCCAGAGCTCCTTAAGTACTTTGATAAATTAGGCGTTCCCCTGAATGAACAGAATAGACTAGCGAATGTTGCTGTTGATGCTGTTCTTGATAGCGTATCAATAGCTACAACTCACAGGAAGACTCTAGAAAAGGCTGGTGTGATCTTCTGTTCAATATCTGAGGCAATACAGAAGTACCCCGATTTGGTGAAGAAGTATCTGGGTAAAGTTGTGCCAAGTGAGGATAACTACTACTCAGCTTTGAATTCTGCAGTGTTTAGCGATGGTTCATTTCTCTATATACCGAAGGATACAAAGTGCCCTATGCAGGTTTCCACCTACTTTAGAATCAATGCAATGGAAACGGGGCAGTTTGAGAGAACTTTGATTGTTGCTGATGACCGGAGTTTTGTTGAGTACTTGGAAGGGTGTACTGCGCCTTCTTATGATACTAACCAGCTTCATGCTGCTGTGGTTGAGTTGTACTGTGCTGAGAGTGCTGAGATTAAGTACTCTACTGTACAGAATTGGTATGCTGGCGATGAGGAAGGGAGAGGTGGGATCTATAATTTTGTTACTAAGCGTGGACTTTGTGCTGGGGATCGATCTAAGATATCTTGGACTCAGGTGGAGACGGGTTCTGCGATTACTTGGAAGTACCCTAGTGTGATCTTGGAAGGTGATAGCACTGTGGGGGAGTTCTATTCGGTTGCTTTGACTAATAATTATCAGCAGGCAGATACTGGGACTAAGATGATTCACAAGGGGAAGAATACAAAGAGTCGGATTATATCGAAGGGTATTTCCGTTGGGCATTCGAGAAACTGTTATAGGGGTCTTGTCCAGGTTCTGTCAAAAGCTGATAATGCCAAGAATTCATCTCAGTGTGACTCGATGCTTATTGGTGATACTGCTGCTGCCAATACCTATCCTTATATCCAGGTACTCTTCTTGGGTTTTGTTATTTTTCACGTTAGACTTGCATTGTCTTCCCTGGCTTCAAAACCATTTCATATCGAGCGAGTGCTACCTTCTGTGATATCTATACTATAGGCATCTAAAAGTAGATCTTGTCTCCAAATTACAAATGCGAGACTGTTGTGGTTATTGTTGAAACTTGTTATATGTTTCAAATATTTCAAGGCTTGACCTTTATTCACCTTTTTGGTTGCCAGCTCCTTCTCATATATTACAAGACTAGTAACTATGAAGCTATGTTCATGACCAAAACGTGCATAGTTCAATATTTGTATTTTCTGTTTTCGAAACCAAATTCCAGTTCGGAAGTTAAGAGGTGGTTTAGGAATGCATTAAACTATTTGACCAATTCATTCGTTGACGAAGCCAAATTCCTTTATTGCCGAGTAACTTTTCATAAAAAATTTCGGTGTTCACTTATTCTGATGAGGATCTTCATTTTTATCTGTTTCTCAATCCCGTTCTGCAACTGCCTTGTTTAGCGAAAAGGAATTTGCTAGAGGCAGTTGAGGTGGAATGACTTTTGTTGCACCTTTTTCATTTATGCTCAGCTTCCAGTTTTCCTAACTGCTGTGGATGAGTTATACTTCATAACGGTACTTCTTTGTTTTGCAGGTGAAGAATCCCACAGCTAGGGTGGAACATGAAGCCACCACATCCAAAATCGGGGAGGATCAACTGTTTTACTTTCAGCAGAGGGGAATCGACTATGAAAGAGCGATGGCTGCGATGATTTCTGGGTTCTGCAGAGATGTGTTCAATGAGCTTCCCGATGAATTTGGGGCAGAGGTGAATCAGTTGATGAGCTTAAAGCTTGAAGGTTCCGTTGGTTAAGCAGCTGTTCTTCTCCAGAGTGCAGAGGAATGGATTCCTCTTGTTTTTGTTAATAAAAATTGGACTCTGATGTTGTAGTAGTAGACTTTTGGTTTGTAAGTTGTAACTGTATTGACACTACCCTTCCCTTTTCTTCCCCATTTTCACCTTACCTTGTGTAGTCTTTTCTCAAATAGCATACGGACCATTTACAATCAGGGTATACAAAAGTAAGCTTCTTTTTGTAATCATAAATAATTACATGATGTATTTTCATATTTGTTCTCATTGTAAAAAGAAGGATAACTAATTAAAGTTATTGTTGATCAAAATGGGAGAAAGGGTCACTGAAGTTTGGATTCACTATACTTTTATTTGACAATAGTAACTGTCACTAGGGCCATTAGATTTTTTTTCTTCTTTTGGTTCAAGCACCCTAATTCATATTAATAAAATAATCCTGGGTGATATCCATAACATCGTAGGAGAGCCACGAACAAAATTTCAGGTCGCTCACATCGAAAGAATGTGTGCCAAAAGGGAACTCATGACCTATACAAGTTAGGTAATCAGCAGCAAAATTACTCTCCCTGCATGGAAAACTTTAACATCCCATTATCTATCGATTAACTCTCTAATATGATTGGCCAGGAGGCTAATTAGAGAATATATGGGACTTTAATATTAGTTCGGACGAGTTTACACTTTATGATTTTAGCAGTTGGATGATTTTTCTTCTTCTTACGGGATACTTTTGCAACCAAACCAAACAAAGTAGCACCAAGCACACATTTAACCCGTGTGTAATGTCCAAAAAAAAAAACTCGTCTGATCTGTCCGTGATCGTGTCTATTGAACACAGCAACTCAATAAGCCGCAACTAAAAATTTTGATGGTGGTAAAAGCGATGCCAGTGTTCTATTAGACATTTCAAAGATATGAAACAAGTTCTCTAAAAACATATTTGGTAACTGGTCCCAAAGTTCAACGACTGTCAGTGTTCAACTGACCCAAAAAAAGAGATTGCTATTCGTCGCCCTACAAATCTTTATTCGTCGTCCTAATTAAGTTAATTTTACTTTTAATGTCCTTAGTGCATTTATTTGTAGTTTACTTTAAACACTTAAACCTAAAAAACTTTAAATTACATGCAAAAAACTGCAGCGGCGGCCGGGCTACCAGAGATCATGTCCATCTCAGCTGGGGACACGGAAGCAAGCTACATTGGGATATATTTTTTTTTTTTACAATAAACTGTGGCATTTATTTGGACAAGCTATTATTGGAGACGAGGAAGAAGATGACAAATGGAGGGGGAACGGATCAGGTGAGTAACCTTCTGGTGAGTAAGTGTGAGTAACCCGCTTACATCAGCATGACATCAGCATCCTCTCTCTCCTGGAAAGTCTTTAATTTCCCCTACTTAATCTTTGACGAACGATTTCTCACTCGTTTTAAGTCAAAATTTAATTTTTTTGCACAGTTAGATCACATTAATTGTGCTCTTCAAAATGATATCCACTTTGATATATTTTTCGAACAAAAAAAAATTGAGACATTTTTTACCAGTCTATACCATATATTTTTCGAACAAAAAAAAATTGAGACATTTTTTACCAGTCTATACCATATATTTTTCGAGAAAAAAAATTGAGACATTTTTTACCAGTCTATACCATATGGTATAGACTGGTAAAAAATGTCTCAATTATTTTTTGTTCGAAAAATATATCAAAGTGGAGTGGTATTGACTGGTATTGAAATAAGAGCATACCTATGGTTTGAAAAGCGTACCATGGTGGTATGACACAAACTAAAACTGTAGGATGGTTGAATACATGATAGTAGAAGTATATTAATTGTCATTTACGACTTTTAACATTGTATACCATAAGATACCATAAGATACAACCCCGTACCATGGTGGTATTGTATGGTATTGTGTGGTATTTTTTGATCTTGTAATTTGTTCACCCAGAAATTTGTAGATCCAATAGATCATGATGAACTCGTCCCTGCTGTGCAAACGTTTTCAAAAACGAAGAAGATACCATATGGTATGCAGTTGGTACCGAGATGCCAGAATTTTTTTTCCCTAAAAAAATATTGAAAATTGATCTCATTTTGTAGAGCACGATGAACTCGTTCCATCTATGCAAAAAAAATAATAATAATAAAATCCGAGTTAAAACGAAAAAGATATGAGTCAATTAAGAAAGTTAGTGAAAATAAAAATGACATTTAATTCTCCGTCTTTAGATCTGAATTTTCTAAATGAAGGGTCCAGATTTGGTTATTGATGGGTGTATAACCATAACTTGAGCCGAACGGAGGAAAGGAGAATAAAGCAAATTACCTTCTCTGCAATTGTTCGGTTTAACTGTTTAAGGATAATATAAATTTTATTAAGGGATAAATATGTCAATTTAGTGCGTTTTAGGGCCATAAAATTTGAATTTCAAGGCGACAAATATCCATTCAGAAGGGCGAGTAAATGAAATTAATGCAATTAAGAAGGGTAAAAACCCTTCCAGCGGAGCAGCCATTCAGCTCCCTAAGGTCCTTGCCGAGGATGGCATGTCTGCCAGATACTCTGTGCATGTAGTAACACCCGCCTGCTAATTCTTTCTATTTCTGCCGTAAAATAGATGGAGGGAGTTTATGAAGTACGTCGTGGCAGGGCGAGAGAGATTGAGGTGGTTTGTCAGAGAATTTAGTGAGAAATTTGGACACCGTTGATCGAAGATACAAATTGGGAGTCTTTTTTGTTTCTTTTTTAATGACTGGGATGGTGACTGTTTGTTGCTTGTTAGGATCGCGGGGAACAATTCTCTTCTTCCATGGAGCTCCAACAAAATCTTTTAAGTTTTAGCTACAGAGTCGTTATGTCCCAGGTTCTTTTATGTTTAGCCTTTCTTCTTCTATCTGGGTTCTCATTCTACTATACAATGGTTGTTTGATTCCATGAGTTCGTCCTATGAATGTTTGGCTGCTAATGATGTCGGATTCCGGGTTTCATTGTTTGGCACCAGATTGGATTTGATTCGGTTTCAGTGACATGCCCCAGCCTGGATACAGATTTTACTATACAGGCGTGTTTGTTTTTTGTGTGTGCTACTGTAGAATGAATCAGAGTAGTGTTCCATTCAGTTTAGTGTAAAGTTTATGTTCTATTGGGGTCTTAGAGAAGGAGTTTCATGTGGCCTTGGCTGAGTTGCTTGAAGAAATGGAAGTCGAAACTCCTTTGTTCCTTGTAGTCCAGGTTTGGATGAATCATGTTTGCATTTGATGCAATTCTGTAATGTTTGAAATGTGTTGCAAGACTTATTCCGGGATTCGGCCCTAAACATGTAACATGTAACTATGTTTGAAGAACGCAAGCAAGGTATCAAAACTTGCAATCATCAACACCCCACTCACTGTTTCATCTCGTTTTCCTGGCTTACTTCAACAGCTAAGATGAATCGTCCTGCTAATGAAATGCTTGTCCATCAACATAGCTATAAACTACTTCGGAGGATTGATCATGGATGGTTCTTCTTCACTTGAATTTATTTTTGGCTGCTTGTTTGATGCAGAGCCCCACTCTTTGGCGAATTCACCTGCCAGAATGCCATCATCGGTGAGCGGTTTATTGAAGCAGGGTAGCCTGTATGTATCCCCAATGCGTTACTATTTTGGGAGTTGTGAATGTCCAGAAGTAAATCATTTGTATTCTTTGGTGAATAAAATGACAGTGGTGAGTATTGAATCATAGATGAAACTGGTCGTTGGCAGCTAGAAGAACTACTGAAGCTCTGAGGCAGTTCTTTTATTAAACATTGAAATGCATAGAGACAGTGGTGAGTATTAAATCATAGATGAAACCGGTCGTTGGCAGCTAGAAGAACTACAGAAGTGTGGTCGTTAGGGTTTGATTCATGCCATGTATGCAGTCTCGACAGATATGCTCCTAAGGACATTCCCTAGCCAGGGGAGATCTGAATATGTAATGCGTTGCTCCTCTGGTTTTTGCAGAGATGACAAGATAAGAGGAGAAAGGCAAGCTGCACAGGAAAACAAAAGGGTACAGCACCGTACATAAACATATGCCGCTTTGTTTTTGATTTATTTTGTCGACATGATTCTAGTCATTAAACCATGCACAAGTGAGTATTATTGACAAACTATGCTCAAAATTGCTAGTATTGATCCGAAGTGCATATCATTGCCAAACAATGTTATAAATACATTTACGTTGCTGTAACATCTGCAAAATAAGATCCTGACCATTTAAATTAAAGCAAGAGGAACTCCTATAAGATTAACCATTTAAAAAAGACTAGACATAACAAAGAAGCAAACGCCAAAGGGGAAAACCATGACTTAAAACAATTGACGACTTCTCCTTCATTGTTGTTGGCCATGCAGGTTTAATGGTTGGAAGGTAAGATCCATACAGGTAATGGGGAAATGAGGTAAGGGTTTTTATGAACCGAGGCAGTAGAGTATAATTGATTAATGGTTTGAGTCCTGAGGTTGTAAACACCCATGTCAGCATCTTGAACTTCATGATTCAAATCGTCTGTGAAATAAATAGAATCACGAGTAATTTGAGGGTGGTCTTTGATGGAAATCCAAGTAGCAGTATTGTAGCCCAAAAAAAGAGCAAAATCTCCAATACTTCCAACCTCATCCCATCTCCTTCTATCTTCATGTACCTTGAAAACTTTAAATTCACCAGTGAACATTGCTCTCTTTCTATAATGATCGGCCAACTGAATATGATCATCATTTTCGTCATCGGACTCACTATCACTACTATAATGATCAACTTCATTGTCACCATCATCATACTCATCATGGTCGTCGTCATCATCATCATCATTGCTCAACTCATCATCTTTATCAATGCCACCATCGTCATCATCATCACAATCATCGTCGTCTTTTTTTTGATACCTTAGATGCCTAGTCACCATCATCAACTCATCATTGGTGGGACTTATTACTAAGTAGTTATGGTAAGGATTGGCCTGAGGAGCATCAATAAACAACGACAGCCTTGGACAGTCTTGGAGAGAAAGATCACAAACATAGACTCTCCTATCGTGATCAAGGACATAAAATTGACCTTTCCAAAACACAACATCCATGAAAGCAATCAATTTTGGTAGATCACGGTCGTCCCCAGGAGGAATCAACGTCCATTTCTGGTCTTCATAAGGCTTGCAAAACGCTAGGGTATAATTACGACCGGGGCGGATGACCATCACAACACATTCCTTCATGGTGGGTTCAGTCGAAAGGGAAACCTTGGATATATAGTGACGCTCAATATTCTTCTTCCCCGTTGCTACTCGCAACCCTTGGCAATCTAGATGCAAGTATTCTATCCCGACTTGCT